GACAGTTAATTATATTTATGGGAGTTAATGTTGAAACAGTGGAATGATTTTTAATCATCAGGACTAGGCATTTTCGTGTTTTGGAAAATGTATGAGTGTGTGTGAGAACCAAAGATGACATAATTCACAATTTACATTAGACTTTATAACTTAAATAAATTTTAATTACTCTTTTCGACCTTGCTGAAATAACTGTACTTTAGTCTCTGATAGCCAGCTTTCACTATTGGAGATAACAGTGTGGATAACAGTGGAGATAACACATATCATCAATATGTGGTGTTTGAGGACTCTTTGAAAGGTGCTTGGTTTGGGGTGGCAGTTGAATACAGTTCAACGAAGAATGAGTTCTGCAAAGCCAAGATGAGAACTGAATAAATCCTGTGATTTCTACGTTAAATGCAGCTACTTGTGAGTTTTGCACAGAAGTTGTTAACTGACTTATTTCGTCACTTTCTCCCTTAGAAGTCCATCGTGGAATGTTCTGCTTTGCTCAGTCAGTAATATTTGTAAATGTACCATTCTCTGATGTTAGAACTACAATGGAATGTTTGGACTAAAGTCACAATTGTGTATTTATCCTTTTGGGATGTCCTTAGAGGACCAGGCAGTGCCAAGAGCTTAACAAGACTTTAGAAGATGACTTAAACTGTATTTCCATGCTGTGTGCTTCACGCATCTGGCGTAGAGGGAACATACAGTACAAAGTCTAGAATTAGTTTTCATTTGCTTTGAATTCTTCCTGTGCACCAAAAGCCTTATTGTTTGGCACCAGCTTTGATTCACAAACACTGCATGTGGCTGTTTTTGTTTTTCTTCTATTGCTTGAAACAGTGGTACAAGTTGTTGTGGCAAAACTTTCTTCCTATTCGGCCTTTAAAAATAAAACAAACGCCAAAAAAGCCCAAACCCTGAGGTTAGTTTCTTGGACAGATACTATAAACTGCTTTTGCAGATCATGGTAGATGGGTAGTATTCATCAGTGACACTGTGTAAGTGTAAAACAAGGAATGATGAATCTCCTGTTTACTGGAGTCTGCAGAGGCGGCAGCTCAGGCCAGCCTGCCCCAGGCTTGGGGCAGTGCAATAGCATTCCCAATAATCATGAAATGCTGGGAGTGGTCTACATGTTGTTCCAAAGATAGTGCTCACAGTAGCATAATGTCCTAGAATTTGGAGGGCAATACTTCACCTGCCTCAGGAGGATCCGTCTTTGTTAGACCCCATACACTTAAGTTAATGAAGTGCAGTGGGGTGTATTTTCCGCTTGCAGTACATTACCAGTTGGTAGTGTCACATCATATGTGAACCTGTGTGGGATGAAAAACAGTGATCAAGTGTCTTTATAACATAGAGCTGGAAGAAAAGGCCAGTGTCTCTTTGCAGAGGGGAAATGCAGGAGGTACCTTCTGCTCTGGGGACAAAAAAAGGTCAGAGAAGAATGAGGGTATCTATGGATGAAGGTGGCCAAATGCTCAGATGACTGGAGCTTTTTGGAGAGCTTTTTCTGTCCAGGTAGAGTGGATGAGGCAAAGCATTCAGCAGTACATCTTAATGATAAGGTGAAATATTTTTAGTACTTGAAATGACAGAACTTTCAGTGAGTAGACCCACACTTTGCTTTGTTTGGAGATGCCAGGTTGGCAAGTTAAATACCCACCTTCGTGTACCTGATGTGTGTACAGTAACGCTGTAATGTGCCTTTTGATTCAGAAGCAGGTCACTTAGCTGGTACTGAGGTATCCTGATGGAATTCTGCTTCAAGGAAAAGAATATCTGAAACAGGGCAAAGTGTAGAGATAAAAGACCAAGTTACTAATTTCTTTTTTTTCACTGGCAAGTAGACAACTCATGAAAATCAGGATAGAGACTAGTTTTTAGAAGTCCCCTGATTAGTTTCATGTTTGTTTGGCGGAATGTTGTATTTAGTTATGTTGGCATTTACATGGTTTTAAGTAGACTTTGAAGTTATCAGGTCACACCTTATTAATGAAAGCTAAGGAAGACAAGGGTGGATCACACTTTTGGTGTCACCTTTGTTTATCTGGAGGCTATTTTCTGCATGGCCAGGTTTATCAGCCACAATCACTGCTCTTCCATGAGTCCCAGTATCTCAGTATTTAATATTGCGCTTCTCAAAGGAGGCACCTAAAAGCTAGACACCTGAGGGTGGAAAGGGAAGTCTGCCTTTGTGCTTTAACATCTTCAGATCTCCCTTTTAAGTTTAAGTTGGACTTAAACTGCTGAAATTTACAGTGGTTGGTGTGGGTTTTAATCATAGAAATCTTTATTTTTCTTTTTATATGTAAATACAATTCTGTTGGCTGAATAAGGCTTCATAAGCTATTTCAGGGACAGTATTTCTGAGGTGCACTGAAATGGATGCTTAGGAATTTCTGGTTCCTCATCAATTATTTCGCTCACATGGTATTCTCTCTATTGGCAGTACCAGAGATGGTGTAGGTCTTGTTAAGGTCGTGAGTGAGAGTAACACTGACACTACAGTCTGAACCTGTATTGTTCAGGAGGGTACATTCCTGGTTGCTCACTGAGGGAACCTCCTGGGTTTGGTACAAATGGAGCAGATGGCTGCAAAAGTTTGTTAAATGAGGCCAGAAAACAAACAGCACCCAAAGAGGAGGGGTGTCAAAAAGTGATTCAACATGAAGTTCACGTTTGTAATTAATGTGAGTTGGGTTTAGATTTTGTCACCTATATGAGGGCAAAACGGAAACATTTTGTGGTACATTTGGTGCATTAGAATCCTCAAATTGTTCTATTTACAGCTACAATTCAGTGTTACTTTCTAAATAACACAAACAGAAATGTCCCATTTAACTTTGGTTTTACAGTTAAAGGAGACAAGGACCTTAAACCATGTGCATGTCATTTTTTTGTCCTTACTAAGAGAATAATTTTCTATTACATTAAAATTCTTGCTATATACTAAACCAGATTGTTATTGACTGTTAGGTGTCAGATTCTTCTTTACAGAGGAAGGAAAATAAGAGGAAAGACTGGACTATGTTCCTTGGAAAGGCTGGTGTAGTGGATCGGGTGAATTTAGGCAGGGGAGGAACAAAAAAAAGCAGCCAGAGCTGTAAGGAGAGCTCAGCAATTTTGACCACTGTTAGTAAGTTGGTTTATTCTTGCTGGCTGGCTCATCGTGCACTAATGTAACTTTCAAAATGTGTTCTTGAGAAATCATTTTCAGGCCTTGACAGATTCCTTAATGAGGTTTGAATTTTGAACACTTATTGAGCCTTTTTATTTTTATAGCGACTACTCTTATCCTCTTAAAGCATTTGTCCAGAAAACCCCCCAGCCTTAAACATGGTAAATAGGTAGCTTCAGGTTGATTTGTATTTCCAGGCTAACTGTAAAAAAAACATCTACATGAGGTTCACAAAGAGGTCAGAAGTAATTCAGTCCCTGATCACTACACTCTGGTTAGTGTCTGTGTGATCAAGTCACAAGAAGGGTCATGGGATTTCATTTTCATTTATGTTGTCTACTTGTTTAGATAATTGGAGCCACTGGACTAGTTCATCTTTGAGCTGCAAAGAAAGATCTAAACTCAAGACATGGTGTCATCAGTGAAAAAATGATAGAAAAAGGATGGGAGCTTCATTGCATTGTGCATATGAATTAACTGTTTGTTTCTTGTTTCATCTTTAGTGTATTAGGATTTTACACCAGGTTTTAGTTGTCTCCTGGCACACACCTTAATCACAGGGCTTTTTTTAACATGACTAATAGGGATGCAAAGGAGATAGCACCTGCAACAGAGCTGAGCTGAGCAACAGACAGGGCAGAGTCCGTGCACAGCACTTGGGGCAGAAGAGCTGTGATCGTGCAGGACAGTTACGATTTCACCATTGCCTCAGCCGTCGAGTACCTTGGACATTCCTGTGGCACCTGGAACATTCCTCAGCCCTAGTCTAAGACACAACAAAGCATTAAATTATCATTCGGGGGGAAGTTCATTTGTTGATAGAAACTTGTAAGAAGGCTGCTGCTGTTTGAGGGAGGTATAGAAGATGACCACCTACATAGACCCAAAAATAGTTGGGTTTTGGAGGTTATTTCAGGAAAATGCCTGCTAGGAGTCCTTTCCTATAATAATATCCTGAATATGAGGTAAGGTTTGGGGGTTTTTGTCTCCTTTTTTTGCCTCCCTCCCTCCACCAAGCTTCTGGTTTATATCTGATTACATCAAACCAAAGGTCAACACATCACAATAGATCATTTTTATTAGGTGCTTTTTCATTGACTCGTACTCAGTAATGGTCGGAGTTCTCAGAACAAGTCCTGTTTTGGACTTAGATGTTCTCTTTCATCTTTAAGTATATATCAAGTCTTCCTCCACATTGTTTAAGGTAAGTGTGAGGAGTAAAAATGCTCCACCCACACACATATTCAGGATTTCCCTTGGACTTTTGTTTTACAGTGTGTAGTACCCATGGACACTTACCAATGGAGCTCTCTTTCAGTGGATCACCCCATGAGGTGCAGTGAGCATCATGGTGCTCCCCCAACAGCTCCTCTCACAGTAGAGCCACTTCTACATTGTGTTACTAAAAAGAATCTCATTAACTCTTGCAAATGTTTTAGTTTCATGACAGGCATATTTGCCTTGAAGCTTTTCACATATATTTGAGCAGGAAAGCTTTGTCTCTAAATAGCATTGCTGTGAGGTTTTGGAAGGTTACAGTTGGGTCACTGGCACTTCTTTTGGTGCATCTTTCACAGGCTTCATTTATTTTGACTTAACCATTGCAGTGGGGCACCTACTCAGTTTTTACTGTCACCTCAGGATTTGAGTTGCAGCAGATTAATGTACTTCAGAGTTTTTTTCACAGCATGACTGTGCACATGTAACAACAGGAATTGTATAAATCTGTGTTTCACTGCTAGAATCTGGGTGTTTTCTTCAGTAAGTGTGCATAAGAGAAACACCTTTTGTTCTTTTAGTAACAGAAAAGCTTCTTCTCTTGCAGTTTGCTGGGACCTTGTCAGATGGTTTGGGAAAGACAATGGATAACAGACATCAGACCGAACGAGAATACATCCGCTATCATGCTGCAACTAGTGGAGAACATCTCGTGGCTGGAATCCATGGACTTGCACATGGTAACCCTTAACTGCAGTTTTAACTCATTTCTCTTTTAAAAGCAATGATGAGATTGAAAAGAAGAGTTTGCATTACCCTTGGGTGATTATTTGAAGCCAGGGATGTGGAGCTGTCGCAGGCTTTATGTTTGAATTGGTATGCTTGCAGCGTGGGATGGGGGGAACCTTTGGTTCTTAAGTTGACAGAAACTACATTTAAGAGAGAAGTCTTTTCACATATAACTGAGTAAGAGTTTTTTGGCACATGAAAATGAAGTTTCAAGGGAAGTTCATCCAAAACTTCAATTTCTTTGTAGAGGCATAAAAGACTCATCCAAACAGGTTTCTTGAGGGCCAGACATTAAAATACAAATGAGTACAGCTGGATTGTAGCTGTCTTCTGTTCGCTTTCAGTTCCAGAAACCTGAGGTTCCTCAGAACCTGTACGTCAGTTTAAAGTAGCATTTCACCAGTTGGCTTATATTGTTGTTTTGTTTTGGGGTTTTTAAGTCTACTAAGAACAAGAGAGATGGATTTGTGTAAAAGGCAGTGGACTAGTCTTAATTTGGCCAGCATCTCACATCGATTTAGCTTGTGATTTATCTGTTGGAGAAAGTTAAATCAATACAAGCCAAGTTTAAATCAAATATTTATATTTTGCATCTTCTTGACTCAGTTTGTTTAAATGTCATTCTTTCAGTGCAACTGTTGCAGGCTGTGTGAAGCTAATATGGCTTTCACTAAAGCAGCAATCTTCTCTATGCTGAGCAAAAGTCTTTGTGCTGGGCTTTTGTCATAAGGAGACACTGTAGGCATTTAACTGCCTTTCCAGACTGCTGCTTCTCTGCCAGCTTCTTCTGTTCTTGCTCCATGAGAGCATAAGAAGTTCATGAGAGGTTTCTCCCATACCAGTGTGCTGTAAAGGCTGATATCAATTATACTGAAGAAATACTGAATTTGTGTTGTATTACCCGTTAACTGGCAGGACTGTTTCAGTCTTAATTCTGTATAGTTTTTAAACGCTCCTTACTCAGTTTTGTTCACAGTTTGTTTTTCAAAAAAGCAAAAATCTGTTAAGTCCTATCTGTTGAATTGTAGGAATTAACTGTAGTTACTCGGGAGAAGTGACTTAAATAATTTGTGCTTCTCAAGTTGGGGAATTAAGGTGCTGCCTGGTCTGTATTTCAGTTACAGACCGTGGGAGAATGGTTGGCTGCTGGAAGTTTGAGAGCCAAGTGGTGGGAATTGTTTTTACATGGGGGCTTAAGCCAGTTCACTAAAAACATCCCAATCGCATCATCCCAAGATGTGAAATCTGTAAAGCAGGTTCTCAGATCAAGCGAACTGTTCCAAGTCTTTTGAAGACTCAGTAGGCTCTTGATTTCTTCAGAGCATTCAGGTTCCCTGCAGTGGAGATGTGCACAGAAATGTGTCAGCAACATCACAGTTAAAATTGCACAGGGCCAGTTTAAATTCACTTTTCCAGTGAGAAATGCGCTTTCCTGTCTTCTGTCTCAAATTATATAAGCTTTTGTGGAACTAGGATGTTGCCACATTGTAAGTAACTGCTTCACCTCAGGAATAGATGAGGACTGTTTGTACAAGTACAGCTGGGAAATAAAATAACATAGAAAAATTTTAAAATACACATATTTAATGATGAATTAGATTTTTTTCTGTGGGATATTATTGTCTGTGCCTACATGTGTGCGTATACAGAATATAAGGTCATGGGTTCATGTAACCCATTTTGACACGGTTTTTGTGTAACATTAAGTGCCCAATACGTTTCCATTAGGCTGCACAGTAGATGGTTGAGCCAGACAGCACCAGCCATGCAAGGCTCTCTGATGCTTAGGGGTGGCACCTGTGGCCTACTGTGCTGTTCCTGTCTTTGCTAGGAATCATCGGAGGACTGACAAGTGTAATAACTTCAACTGTGGAAGGTGTGAAGACCGAAGGAGGTGTCAGTGGCTTCATATCGGGCCTCGGCAAAGGGCTGGTGGGCACGGTAACCAAACCTGTAGCTGGGGCTCTGGACTTCGCATCGGAAACCGCACAGGCAGTGAGGGACACGGCAACTCTTAGTGGCCCCAGGTCAGTGAGCAGTTTATATTTCTGATCAATAATACTGTGAAAATGTGTGTTAATACCTGCTGCAATTTCTGATCTGATTCTGTTCCTTACCCAAAGAAACAATAATTTAATCAAATTTGCTATGAGCCATTATTAGAGATGTAGCCCATTTCATTCAGTTTGCTTTTTCTGTAATAGATGGCATTACTGTAACAAGAATGAGATTTGAACAGAAAAGCTACAACACAAAATAGGAATTACTCAGCTACAGCATTAGAGGAAAGCAAAATTTTCAAAAAGCTGTAGGGAATGACATTAAACTTCTACCATGGAATCCTTACGCAGACTTGAAATGGAAGAGTTCTCCCTGCTTTAGCTCCAGCTTCCACTTAGTTGTGTAGAAAAACATTTTGAAGAGTTCTGGCATCAGTACAGCATTGTTATCTTCCAGTTTTCATTTTCTACAGTGGTTCTCACTTACAGAAAGTGATCAATAAGGGCTAATGCCCTTATGTCCACAGGCTTACCTGTTTACCTGTGTGTGTGTGGATGTTGTGTGTCAGCACATCAGGACAGAGGGTTTGGCTTCCTTCCTGTGTTCAATTACAAGCTTCTTGTGCTCTCTACAAAATATAATGATTATGTTTAAAATAAATGGATGTTCATTAGCACTGACTGTGAATGTGGAAGAGGGAAAGGGTCAAGTTCTAGAAAGGCTTCTCTGAGAGGAGATTCTTCTTACTGTTTGTGGCCAAGAGTTTACTTTGTATGACACTATTGTGCCAGGAAGTCCTGATGTACGTACGTGAGATTTTGTGTGCTGAAGAAGTGAAAGACAATCCTGAGTACATTTTATTGTCAGAAAGTTAGAGAAGAATGTTTGCAAAATGTTGGGATTTCTTGTCTTCCCATCTGGCTTTTCCATTCCCTCTGTTTCATTATGCCTCACTTGGAGTCCTGGCATGCCTAGTGTCAGTGTTTCAGTAAAGAACAGTGAGGTTGATGAAGTGTAAGTGAGGTGCAGGAAGCTTTGAAGAGTGAACCTAGGTGTACTTTGCTGTGAAAATGGAAGTGTTCACAGGTGTACGTGGTCTGTATTTGGTACTTAGCTTGATTTGTAAAACCAAGAGGTCAAGGATACAACTTGGTAAGCACATGTGCATACACAGAGTTACACAAGAACTCTTAATGCATCCCTGAGAAACCACATCTAGTGTTTTGCTCATACATGTCTTAATTTTGTGACTGTACAGGTAGGTTGATTGATTGATTCAGAGGTGGGGAGAAACACACCTGGCTGTACTGTTAGTTGTCTTACTAGTTGAGCTGTGGTTTTATTATAGTTTGCTTCAAGACACACATATACTTGAAATTCATGTTTGACATACTTCTGTGAGCTAGAACCTCTACACAGTAGCATTGACGTTGTCAACAGTTGACACGTTAGATAGCAGCTGGAAAAGGGAGAGCCTCCAACCACCTTATCTCTTGTGTCTACCTGTGTGACACATCTCCCTTTTACCTTGTTCACTGTCAGTTAAGAGATGAGGGTAAGACAGATGAGCTGAACCACAGTTTTACTTCCACTAGATTCTGAAATACTATTGTCATAGATGAGCACAGTGAAATGATTTTAATAGATGAGCACACTGCAAAATGTTTCTGACCCAGCAACCTTCTACAAGGGGAAACAGAACAAAAAAGAAAGAAAACCCTTTCTCAGTTACTTCTCCAGTCTACAGATCTGATGAAAACATTTTTTTGGATAAACAAATATACTTGAGAATATGTAGATGATGTAGGAAGGGGGAAAAAAACAAAACCCAAACCCACACCACCACCTATAAGCAACTTTGTGCTCATGTTTTGTTTAGTAACGGGGTTTTATTTATGTGCTTATATAATGAAGCAACGAAATTGTTCTTTTGAGGGTATAAAAAACCCCAAACCAGCAAAGGATTTGTACATGTTTCAGGCTGCTGTGTACCACTATCCCCCTGCCGCATGTGTTAACTGTTCAAATATGTGTGGTTTGGAATCAAAGCTGAACAGTGTTCCAGCCCCAAGTTGCTGGCTCCCGTTGAACAGAATGTTTTTGTATGCTGGGCTGTGTAGGCTCCTCCAAACTAAGTCCACAGCACCAGCTAACCCTGGAACGTCTGCTTGTGGTGGTAACTGATTCTCAGGGTTGTTTTGAACAGTTGAAGAACTTGAGTTAAAAGCATGGTAAGAGCGGCCTGACCTTATCTGGAGACTGGGTGCAGGTTTCCAGTATTGGCGCAGAGTTGAGTCAACCAGTTAAGTCCAGTTGCGTTGAAGTAGTACAATATGTAACCCTAAATTACAGGCCTCTTGCAAATCTCTAATGACATGGTTGCATTTTTAAAAAGCCCTCAGTTTAAGCTGCTTGACTTCAACCATTGGATCAGTTTTGGCCGAGATGAAGAATTTGGATTGACATTGTAGGTTTTCCTAAAAGGCACGTTCTAATTCCAGCGAAGTTACTGAATTGAATAGAACTCTGAGAAAGGCTGTAGCTGGTGTTACTGTGATGCTGCTACAAGGACACGAGTCTCTTTTGGCTTCAGAATGTGCTGGTTTGTGTTGCTCGCACAAGCCATGTGTGTGGAATACAGAGCCAAGGTAACAGGGCTGAGATGCAGATGATGGCTTTATAGCTGATGGTAGTCGTGGAAAAGGTGATGTGCTTACAGTGCAAGAAAGTACTTTCTAAATGCGACTTTAGGCTGGACTTCTTCAAGGCTAATCTTATAACTTACTATGTAATCATAGAAGTTATTATGCTTGTTATTTATTAATAAAGCTGCCTTAATTCTTCTGAATTTTAATGTAGAGGGAAGCATAAAATAGTTGTGACAATGCAGTGTACATCTAATTTATAAACAGTTAATGCCTGGGATTCAGTACCTTTATTTGAGTGGGTTTTATGTGTTCCAAGTACTCCAGTGTCACATACAAGAATTCTGATTATTTCCATATTGGTCATATACTGCCAAAAGTCTTGAAGGCCAGTTCAGAACAAGAAAGCTGTTATGTCTCTAGATGCGCTTGGAAAGATTGCTTCTGGAAACGTGTTTTAAGTTCTAGTGCAGCACAAGGAAAGAACATTTATATTTAGATATGTGTCTAACTTACCAAGTAGTGCAGGAAACTACCATCACAGCTTTCTCTCAGGCTTCTGCCAGGTCAGTGCAAGTTTAAGATTAGTCCTGAACTGTTGCAGCGCTTAGTGGTGTTTTCTGATAGTCACAAGGTGAAACTTAGAAGTAAGGAGGTAACTTCACAACCTACCCAATTCAAATGAATTCTGCCAATGAACTAGACTGTATTAGTAAAGAACAGCTTGGGGCTGGCAAGCCATGAATAGGCACAGAAAATTCTTACGTAAATATTTGATTCTTTTAGCTATACTCCATCTGGAAAGCAGTAGCCTGTGCTCATTGTTCTTTAGTTCCCCACTTCCATGCCATCACTCAGAAGTGTGCAACCAGGCTGCAAAGTCTGATACAGTGTCAACAGCATGTGGTTTTTTGGTTGGTTGTCCATCCCTCTCTCTGTCCATTAGCTGTAATTTTGATTGCAAGGTCAAAAGCAGTAGAGTTGAGAGCATCAGCATCAGTGAAAGTCAAAAGAAGTAGAAAATCTGGACCTAATTATATGGAACACCAGCTCAGCTTATATACTGCAGAGTATGTCCTCAAGGTTCTCAAGTTTTATAGATAAAATAATGTTTGAACCTTAACATCTCTGTATGTGTCACAGATTCTGTCCTGACCTTAGACTTGATCGAGATCTAACTTCAAGAGTCTTTACAGTAATGTCAGACGTGTATGGGCCATGACTCTGGTGAAGGAGGCATTATTCTTCTGCTAAGCCCTTCCTAAGATTTTCATCTTAGAGACCAGAGAGAAAATGTATTTATTAGTTGATACTCATTGTGCTGTGTGAATCTGGAAATGCTGCACACAAGACAGCTTAGCTGATTTCATCGCTCTGATCTGTGAAATGACTTGGGCAGTGTGATTTCCTTGATACATCCTCTTTCTTCTATTCCTGGTGGGATATCAGGTTTTTATAATGATCTGTTTCCTTTTGAGCAGGTTTGTCCATTTCATTCCTCTGTTAATTGGCCATAGGTGTTGGCTTTTCCTCACCGTTGGCCCCACATTCAGTCACTGTCAAACTTGACTTTATGGTTCCGTTCTTCTGTCTTTAGTCTATGCAGATTCTTCCATTGCTGCTGTTGAGCTGCTTTGAAATACCCCCACTCTATAAGTTCCCATCAGTACTGCATGAAAAGTGACTGTCACGTCCCTGCTCCGTTACAAGCTGTGCTCTGCAAGTCATCCAGAGCTGTGTTGGCTGGGTTTACTGCCATATCACATTGCAAATCCATACCCAGTTCTCTGCTCACTGTTCTCCCCCGGGTTTTGCCTGTATTTCGTTCTATTTTACTGCTTTGCAAGGATCTCCTTGTCATTTCATATTTGTGTTCTGCATTATTTTTCCCCAGATGAACCAGGTTGCAATTTTGTAGGTTGAATTCCTTTTCATTTCCTGCTGTATTTCTGGCTTCTTCAGGTCCTTTAGTACTTCACTGTCCTTACTGGAGTTTTAAAAGCCCCTTAGTTTGTTGTCTCCAAATATGCCCTTAAATGCTGCTTTTAGTGGAGCCTTGAAGTTAGGCAAGCCTGGGTTTGTGCCCAGACGCTTTCCCCTTGAAACTTTAATCGCTTTCTGTTTACCAGTCTCACCTGGTCAGGAGTCTTCTATTCATTTTGAATTTATCACTGATAACTTTCTATAGCTCTGTTCCTGAAATGCCCACTCTGGCTCACTGAGGAAGAGGGTGTAGATGTTCTTGAAGGGTAAGTTGTTCCTAGACTGCAGCCCTGCACCTTTTCAGAATGGACAATTTAATCTCAAAACCTTAGATTTTTTTTTTTCTGAAAATGCACCTCAGCTTTTTTAGTTTCTTAACTAGAAAGAGACAATAATCC